AATTTTTAAAAACTTATATATGTTTTAAAAGATTATAAAAATCTTTTAATTTTAATGATCTTTGAAAAATTTTAAAAGCTTTTAAAAGATATTGAAAAAGATATTCAAAAAATTCTAAAAGTCTCAAAGAATTTTCATATAAATTCTAGCCTAAATAAGTTTCTTTTGTTAGGATGAAAAATTGGTCACTTTTCTTCTTATTTCCTGGTCATAATTTTCTTCTTCATTGTTTTGAAAGAATTGTTTCGTCACTGGTTGATCAACGAAATTGCGACTAGGGACGATTGGGTAATATTCATCGCACTTACTTTCGTTTCACGTAACATCCATCCATATTTGTACACGCACGAAATTGACCTAAAATCAGGTTTTAATACTTTCGCGGTCAATTAACAAACAAGTCCGCGTGGAAAACCGGTATAACGTGACGTAAATACTAGCTTGTGAAACTTACCCTCCAGGGAATTCGTTTTTTTGAATTCACCATTATTTATGAATATTTTAGAGTTAATTAAATGTTAGCGTGAGAAATTTACTTGTAAAAGATATTTTCATGAAATCTTAATTACATCAAAAGTATTTCATGTCACAAATTTAAGTGAAATAATTTTTATAATTATCATCAAAATTATTTAATACAATGATTTAATGCTTTCAAAATATATTTAAAATCAACTTGCAATATTATAATAATATTTATATATCATTAAAAAAATATATTATTTAATATATTATAAAAATCACTAAATCAAAGTATTAAATAAATCTAGTTTTTACTCACTCTATTCAATATTGGATTGTCAGTAATCTTAATATTTATGAAAATTAACATTATAGGTGTTTGAATCTCTACAAGAATCTTAAAAATTACATACACAATAATACTTAACAGATTGTGAAAATGTCGAGGACATTGTGCAAAATAATTTATTATCGACCAAGGGATAGAAAAAGAATAACTACGACGTCAAAACATGAATTTCGCAAGAGAATGCGGCAAAAATCCTATATAGCTTTCCACTAGTTGTTTTCTTGCAATCTGCGTCAGCATTTTAAGTATTAGGTACGGTTTTTTCCGTAATTTTCCTCCTCTTTCCTCGAATAGTACACGCGCTGTTTATTAATTTTCCTTTATTTTTTATTCCCCTCATGTGGAAATGAGTTGTAAAGTCGAATCCAGAGAAGCAAGAAAACAGAGAGGCATCGCCGCAGTGAAGTGGCTCTTATACCTCGAAGCAAGCAACCACCGTGTCGACGAGAAAGCATAAGCCTGAGGATTTTCCATTTTTTTTTTTTTTTATTTATAAATGTTACTTTCGTTCTCGGCCACGTGCCAACCTGAATTTAGAATCAATTTTAATATTGTAATTTCTGGTATCTAATTATATTTAGATCGATTGTTAACATATCATTATAAATTATTTTGCATGTACTTTCTCTGAAGATGTGAAATTGAGTTAAATATTATTTTGACAGTTAAATTTATTCTTGTTACTTCAATTAAAAGAATGTAAGATCTAAAGCTTGAAGAATACTTTAAAATATGAATTAACCATTTCAAGAATACTGAATATGAAATAATAGTAGATTAATTTTTCATGATTATTTATAAAATATAAAAATATTATATTTAAGAGATAAAAATTTTAAAAGATTTGATACAAGATAATTTTATAATAATTTTATATAATTCATTAAAAATTTTCGAAGGAGAAAGGATAATTTGAACACGTTACAATAACGTGATCGCAATTTTCTTGTCTTGTGATGATATGTTAATCCGACATTGATTCTCGAGCAAAATAATCGTCCCCTAGATGTAATCTTCACGTCGTTTCATAATTTATCAATTCATAAGTGAAGGTATATCAGGTCTAGGTAACTCTTTATCGGTTTACGTTTACCGTTACACGATACGGTTATGATTTCACAAACCTATTTTGAACTTGTTTGATTTCAATTTTAATCGATTGAAAGTTTTAGAATAAAGTTCCAGTTAATAAAAATTAAGATCATAATTAATTATGTTAACCATTATGTTAAGATTTACTATAAGAAGTTTAAACAGAATCAATCACAATTAGATAGAATTATGTCTATAAAATTTTACAAGACAATGGTACTTAGTTTTTAAATTATAGAGTTTATTCTCTGAATTTTAATATAATTAAATTTTTAAATACATGTTTAACTTTATTATTTTACTATTTTTTTTTATTATATTATTTATAGATTTAATCAATAGTTACCTAAGGGATGATTATTTTAATTTTATTATATTTTGTTATATTTAATTCAAATTATCTTAATTAATTAATTATATATAATAATTAATTAATTATCTTAACATTAAGTTACTTTATTCTACTGAATTTATTCACATTTATACAGTGTAATTTTTTCGCTAGGATCCAAAGGAAACACATATAAGATAATTTCAAAAGTTGATACCGAATGTTTTGTCGTCAGTATCACGTAACATGCAGGAATTATCGACGAATAAGATAATAATTCTCAAATATTTATAAACTGAGACTCATTTTCAATCAATGATTATTTTATAAATAAAGAATTGCGATCCATAAATATTTGGGGATTAAGAATCTTTAAATTATCTCATCAATATTTCCTTTTGTTCCACACGAGAAAATTATCTTGTATATATTCTACTATAATTAAAATAATCACCAATATTTTTTTAGGTTCCAAATTTCAATCCTCCAACCAATAATTCTTCAGATATGTTCAATGATAACAGCTCTTTGAAAGGGCAGTCATGATTACGAAGGGATATGACACAAATTTCGAGCACAAGGTCCATGGAGCGAAATCGAGTTGATATTCTCAATGCAAACTCGCGTGACCTGCGTCTCAGATGAAACAGCGTTACGAGAGATTGTTCGCATTATTTCGCTTATTTTTCAAGATATCATTTATAATGATGGGATTTAGAATGAATATTGTACATCAAACGAAAAAAAAATTCAAGTTTAAATCATCTTCAACTGATTTTTTTAAAACAAATTTTTAATTAAAATTCTTGCGAGTTATTCTGTCTTGCATTACCTTTTATTTTTGTCCTTGAATCGGAATACGATAATGTTGGTCAATTCTTGAAAATAGGTAAAAATGGAAAGTAGGTAATGCAAGTGAAATAATTCTTAAGAATTTCGAATTGATCAAGAATTTTTTTTCAAGAATTTTTAGATTTTGAATTAGTTTTAAGATGATTTGATTTTTCTATTTTATAAATTAGAAATAATTCGAAACATTCTAAATCTCATTCCTTTATCATTCGTTGTTATGAAATTTTAGTGTTCCGTTCAAAGGTATTAAGGGATCGCTTAATTCTAGAAAAACAAAATAATTATTTTTTTTTTATTACTTTCTTATAAAACTTACGTAAATTGATTCTACGTAACTTGTACTATCGATAGTTTCGCTAAAAAATATAAAAAAATTAGTGAAAGTATCGCAAATATGTGTTTAAATATTGGTTACGCATTTTCTACGTAATATAAACACAGTTTCTCATTTCCTTCTTACTTATCAAAAGTTATTTCTGGCGTTAGGGGTTATCTATTTAAATTTCCGTCTGGTCATTAGAGCGATTTAGTCAATTCATCGAATTGAAAGTTGAGTATCCGCTAGTAGATATCACTGCTATTTCATTGCTATCGACATTGTGATTTAATCTGATGATTATTATTCAATATATTATGTTACCACATCGGTTGACCAATCTACATTCTGATCAATTAGGCAATCCGGTGCATGTGTATCATACTATTTCACATGTGTAAATCTCTGCCAAACGTTATTAAATCCTTTCAAAATCTGAGATCTAAAAAATATATATATATATGTAAAAAAAAATGGATAATAAGATCAGAAGATCACCATAAAGTTATTAATCAAACTTCTAATGAAATCTAGATTAACTTCATAATTTCATAAGGGGATAATTTTTCAAAATTATTTAAGAATGTTGAAAAATTTTAAGAAACTATTTCTTCATGCTAATTTTTTTTTTATCTATATGATGTAAATTTACTTTTAATCCAAACTCGAATATTATGAATTATTTATTATCCTCTTTCATTTATTTTGTAATATTAAATAAAGTTAATATTAATCTAAACAAAATTGAATATTATGAAATCAATCCATTAATCTAAATCAATTAAATAAAACCGATTAACACAAATATAATTTCAAAAAAATCACTTTTCTAAAATTCTATATTTTTTTAATTGTATCAAAAGAGAAAGATGTTACATAACAATGTGAAGATTACTTTCCAAATAATACAAAATTATACAACTAGTGAAACTTGTGTAACAGCTGTTAATTAATCTGATTAAATTGGTTATGTACGCGAAGTTACTATTCTGTTGGACAGCTCGAACAAAAGGTTGGATCGATTGTTATGCGATTGGTTATTCAATCGAGCGATCGAATAAGGAGCGAGTTCTGTTACCCAATGACTGGTAGGATCGGCTACTTTCTCCGTGATGAGAAGAGAAAGATGGCCATCTCAAAGATCTGTATGTTTACTATGTTGGAAACCACGTCATCGGCACCAGCCACCGTTCGAGAAGCAAGTTGGAATCGAGTGCAAGTGGTTTTAGAAAGTCGTTCACGCTCGATTCTGCCATGTCCGGAGCCAATGTCCTTCCGTTTCTACGGATAACCGCGTCCACGCTTTCGAATTTTATCGATAGTATCTTATATTTTTTCTTTGATCTTATTCTAATTTTCTTGAAAATTTTGTCGAATGAAATAATAATTTTTTTTTAAATACTCTTTTAGAAGATATTCTTTTAAAATGTTCTGAGATCACGTCAAATTATACGAGACATTCAGATTGAATTTTATTGATAGTATTTTGTATTTTTCCTCAATCTTATTATAATTTTCTTTTGAAATTTTCTAGAATAAAATAACATTTCTAATATTTTTTTAGGAGGAATCCTTTCATAATTTTTTAGAATAATATTGAATTATACGAGATATTGAATTATATGAGGGAAGATATATGGGTAGCAGAAGGATATGTGAATTAAATACAAAGTAGATCTTCCTTCAAAAATGTGAAATATGAAACGCTATTTAGATGAGATGCTGGGAAAGAATCCAAACTATTATATATGCACACGAGCTACCAAGGAAGAGTGGGAGGCACTAGACATGTGAGAATGATGAGATGCTAAGGAAGAATGTACGGTGTACTGTTACTTTATTCTGTATGCGGGTTGATGATCCAGAAAGAACAAGTTTTTTCCTGAACAAACAATGAACGTAGGACATTGATCCAGGGTATGAAATAGGAAACTTTGATCTAGAGCTACCGGTCTATTCATGTGTATAGTATACATGTTTTTTTTATATAAGTATTGAAAAAATTTCATCCAAATTGAATATTTATGTTAATATAGTATATTCACATATTTGAACTGAATTGCAAAAAATATTGTGAATGTGTGAAAAATGTTTTCCTTATCAAGTAATCGGAATTATTCCATTTCTTCGAGGTAGTTGTTCTCATGTATTTTGCTTTTATGTACGTTTTTCAACGGAATCTGAGGTAACGAGAATTGCAAGTCAATGAGTTCTCTAGAAAAGAATTGTGGATCGTTCCTTATAAGTATCTGCAACGATTTGCAATCCCGACTTGAATCCGAGGAATCGACACACAATGATGATTTCGTTATGCTAAACGCGTATTGTCATTATCTGGGTCAAGTTTTCGTCACTTTTACTCCCCGTTTTTCAATGACATTTTATTTGAATTCGTTTAACCCATTTTTCGTTTGGAATTTTTAATGTCCTTTTTTTTTTCTTGATTAGGATACAAGAAAGATAATGATCTTGGTGTATAGCGAAAGTGGATTTCATGATAGTATGATTGGTTCGAAGAGGACGGATGTGTGCGATTTTCGTCGTTAAAATTGAACACGAATTTCAGCGTGAAGACGCGGATGATTACTTAAGAAGAGGGACGGATGTCTGTGTTATTAGACTAAGTATGTTTTTCCATTGTGACATAACTACAATATCGTCATACAACTCTTGATGCACTTTGGAAAATGTTTGGTCTGTTGTCGTTGTTTAGAAATTGTGCATTCAGTTGAGTCTAGATTAAGTATAGATATGAGTATATATACATACACGAGCATTTCACTTAATTTTATTATTTAAAATCATTGATATAATCAAGATTGCATAAAAATATTTCAAAAGATAGATTATTTATTATAAATTAAATATTCTATTTGAAAAATTATCTAGATCAATTGTTTTCCTTTACGATATTAAAAGGTATATTATAGTAATTTCGATATTAAGATTGCAAGTGGTTGACTTTATTAATTTTATAATTCTATATTCTTGTTCAATTTACTGTGTTTGGATATTGTGATAAGGAATTGTTTGTGGGAAATTACAATTACTGTGTATAATTTTACGCGCATTATTTATTTATACAAGCAGGAAAAAAAAATTGATAAAATCTTGAATTCTAAAATCTTTCGTTACGCATCAAACGGACCGTGCAATGAATTTCACATATTTTATGCTTTAAATACGTGGAAAACATAAGTACTTTATTGTTTAATTTTTTTAATTTTTATTCTTATCGCCGTAAAAAAATAATATTCAAAAATAATTGGAAATATTTTATATTAAAACAATTACAAATTAGAAAATTAAAAAATTAAGAAATTATAAATTTTTTAAATTAATGAAAATTTCTTTTATATTGAATTTTATTTAAATCAAGTATTTGATATTTTAGAAAATGTAAATGAATTTTTCAATGAATTTTTTAATGAAAATATATGTATATAATTATTACAATTATTGATACAAATTTTTGCACAATAGGACGGTTAAAATTAAGATTGTATTAATTCCAAATAATCGTTGTTCGTAATTATAGTTTTGAATTCTGAAAAATTTAATTATAATATTATTGTTCGCTTTATTTCTCTGTAATTTCTTACGCTGTATTGTGATATAGTCCATCTTTAACATTTGAATTCATTATTTGTTTGGAAATGAATAGTATGTTTTCTATTATTTTCCTCATTTTTAAATAATATTATGTTGAAATTAATCCAATAATCAGCAAATCGTAAATTTCAAACAATTGATCAATATCTTCACGTATGTTTCGCGAACTAATTTTCTTTCGAATTACTGTTAGTCATCATAGAATCTTCAACTATATCTATATGAAATGAATTCAGTTATAATGTCATAGAATAGACAGATAAAGATTCATCTTTTTTTCATTTTTATTATTTATAAATAAAGTTATAAACATTTGTGCTTTGATAATTATAAATATCAAATAGAATTTCATTTTTCATTATATATATTTCTAATAATAAGAAATATAAATAAAATTAGATAAAAAAATTTGGAAGCATCTTCATTATCTTTTGCAAATAATATTATAAGCATTGTATTCTCCTGATAAATATAAATATGAAATAAAATTATGATTTTATCAATAATATTTTTAGATGTGGAACAATCTGACTTGTGTGGACGATTTCTTGAACCGAGCCTTTCACAAATTAGGTCTAGTAGTTGGCCATCATCCCGGTTATTTCGTCATAGTTCCAGTTCTCCTGGCCTGTATCTGCTTTACCGGATATCAGAGGATCCATTACGAGATAGATCCGGAATACCTCTTTTCTCCGATTAATGGACCAAGTAAAACGGAAAGGGCGATTGTCGAACAATATTTTAAAGTCAATTACAGTCACAGATTCAATCTAGGTCGCATCACTAGGCCAGGTAAGTTGGATTTGAGAAAAAGGAAATTCCATCGAGAAACTAAAAAAATTTTACTTTCAATTTTAGATTTATCAATCAGTTTTGACCTTTTTTACTCTATAATTCTTACTTCCATACTTCTTTAATATAAAAAATGCTTTTATAATTCTTTAACTTATCAAGACTAATGACGCAATATATGCATTATGGAAATTTTCTATTTTATAGCAATCGATGCTGAAAAAAAATTTTCTAGATATTCAATTTTTTATTTTTGTTTTTTGTAAAACGAAAATTAATATTTGCAATCAATTTTCAATGCGATCTCGAATATATTAAAAATATTCGTTAAAAATTTTTAAATTTCAATTGAAATATATTCAAATGATTTATATTATGATTTAATGATATATTATTACATGATCCCACGAGGAGAACAATAATGGTGATGGCGAAGTTCAAGGAGAAAGTGCTCGCTTACATCAATTACTCTGACAGTGTTTCCTTGTTTGCATTATGTGTAATTTTGTACTGTAGAGCGATTGAACATGCAAACTGTGATTTGCTATTAGTTTGAGAACTTTCATGTTTCATTGAGCCATTGCTAATTAATCTTGATTACAAGAACATAATTAATATAGTTTTTTATGTGTATTTTACTTTTTTTTTTCCATGTCAATATTTTCTTCAAGAATCTCTTTACTCATTTGTAATTGAATATTATTTTTGGACATGATATTAGGTCGATTCGGGCATGTGATTATCACATCTAAGGATGGAAATGAAAATCTATTGAGAACAGTGGTATTCAACGAGCTCAGAGAACTGGATAAGACTATAAGAAATACGAAAGCGATGTACGAAGGAGAAGAATTTAATTATAGTCAAATTTGTGCTAGATGGTTAGACACATGCTTCAACAACGATATTCTAGATCTACATCATATCATAGAGTAAGTATCATTATAATTATAAATTGAGAAAAAATTTAAAAATAAAGAATAATAATGGCATATTTATTATCTTATGTTAAAAAAGACTAGGCATTTTTAATTATGAATGAACACTAATTTAAGTGAAACTCTATTTAATCACTAAAAATCTATTTTATATTAAACAAATTAAATGGAAATTTTCTTTACTTATATATGATACATATATATGATTTTGCCAATTACTTGCAGGTATCATTCATGAGTTTGAATAACTACCAAATATGCTCATAAGTAAGCGTCATCACGCGATTGTTTATCATGAAACATGACACATGACTTTCTAAGCAATATCTTATTTTATCTTATTTTTATAAAAATATATTTTAAATATTGTAAATATATATATATTTTTAAATAAATTTTCAATACATAAATATTTTTAATAATTTTATTTATATTATTATAATTTATTATGATTGATGACTAAAGCATTAAAAAAAAATACTGTGCATAACACATATTTCATAAGGTTTCATTGTACATGAAAGATCATTATAAAATATCACTTATTTTTGGTCATGTATCATGGCTAAAAATAAATATAAAAATATCCATTGTTTTTTTATGCAAATTGAATAAAAAATATAATAGTAGTAGGGGTCTAAGTACTCGGTAGCATTTTGCAGGTTTGTGGAGAAGAAAGAGCTCAATCTGACGTTTCCTGTCACGCTGAATCCTGTCACCTGGGATTTTTACATATTGCCGGTCTATTTTGGAGGAAGTGTGATCGACAAAGATTTAATGATCGAGTCTGTACCCTCTATGCAATTGGCCTACTTTCTCACAGCTGACAATGCTCGTCAAGATGCGATGTAAGTCCATCTCTAAAATTCTTACATCCTTTTATTTTACATTTTCTGTCTTATTTTTGAAATAGAGGAGCAGCCTGGGAAGAAGCATTCCTGGAGACATTGAGAAAAGTGGAAGAGGAGAACATTTTCAAACACATTACCACTGCCAGGTTTGCGTCTAGGACTTTGGAACTAGAACTGGAAGAGAACACCAAAACCATAGTGCCTTATTTTTCGAGCACATTCATATTGATGGCTCTTTTCTCCGTGGTCACTTGCATGATGACCGATTGGGTGCGCAGCAAACCATGGCTGGGACTTCTTGGCAATGTTTCCGCTGCAATGGCAACGGTGGCAGCTTTTGGTCTTTGTATATACCTAGGTGTCGATTTCATTGGTCTCAATTTAGCTGCACCTTTTCTGATGATTGGTGAGTGAAATATTATTAAACGAGATTTGTAAGTTTCAATAAGATTTGAATATAGAATTTTATTGAAAAACTGAAGAAGAATTGTAATATAATAATTAATTAGTATTCTTTGAACATAAATTCAATAGCATGCGTGTCTGTAGGATTCTGACAAAAGAATGATGTACTGCTTTTCACTAAAGTTTAGTGCACCTGCACTTTCTTTTTCCATATAATATAATCTTTATCATGCAGGAATGTTATTTAGGTTAAATAGATTCTGTAACATTATGGTTAATGAAATATTAAAAAAATAACAATGGTGTTTAAAACATCAGCCATTTATTTTTAAACGTGGAATTCCCAATTAAATATGAAAAAATAAAACTGAATCATGCTAATTTCAATTTACATTTCTTAGATTACAAGAAAAACCTGTGACGCATATTTCTGCATGGAGTGAATGATTGATGAGAGGAATTATTATGTGAATTCTGAGAATGAGGTGAATAAAACCACAAATCAATATGATTCGCGTGTCTTTTTGAAGATATTTTTTTTTATCAGAGAGATTTAAAATTAAAAAGAATAAGTTCAAAATGAAAAAGAAAAATTTCACAATGATCCAACATATGCAATAATGAACAGTCACATTGCTTGATGATTGATACACGCAAATGCAACAGCAAAAGGGAAAAGTTGCAGCGAAATTTCCGCTTTTCACATAAATCACTCGGTGTTTGTCGATCCTATTGCTTGACTCGTGATCATTCATTCGAGTCGAACAGAGCTAGTAAACACAATTTCGTAAAAGACTTTCGTCAATGGCTATTGCGTTGTGAATCATTTTCTCTAATACATATATTTTAATTGGATTATTATGTTTTTTAAAACAGTCATACATATGAAGGTTAACTAGAGAATAATGTTATACACTTATATTTCGAAAATGAAAAGAGATATTTAAAAATCTAAAAATAGAAATAGAAGTAGAATTCATTAATTTCAGAATTATATGTTTATTTTTTAATATCTTTTACTATCCGTTCAAGGATAGTTCAAGTATAAATTTTTTTCCAAAACAAGTTTTTTCGTTTCATGAAGTATACTGAAATATTCTCGTAGTTGATTCTGAATTAAATTTTATTATTTTTGTATCACTTAATTATTTGTAATGAACATCTTTAAAATTCTTATTGAGAAATATATAAATATTTGAGAAATATATAAATATAAATATATAAAAGAAAATCATAAAGTGTCAAATTAGAGTTGTAGCTATTGATTATCGATATTTTATCGATACATATTAATAATAGTTTTCGATATATTTATGATATTCGATATATCTATGCAAAATATTATTAACGGATAAAAATGATTGGATTCCTATTTTTTTAATTAAAAATTATTATTAATAAGTTATTAAAAATAAGTAAACTTTAATGAAAAATTATGTTGTAATTAAATTAAGTCATTTCGTATTATTGATATTTTAAGAATATTTTCAATATATAATTCAAAAAATTAATTAAATATCGTTTACTTATAAATGATCGTTAAGAATATTAATATTAATAATAATTTTGAATAAAAAAAATAGAAATTCTAATTCTTCATTTTTATTTGTAATCGATGTTCTAATAATATCGATGTATCGAATTAATAGCAATATTATCGATATTTATCGATATATAAAAATATCGATAATCACATTTGAATTAGATGAAAATGGCGGATGAAATTTTTAATTTTCTTTAGAATATCAAGTATTGCATGTGATGATATGATGTGCTTATCAATCTACACTGTAAAATGTATAACTTGTAAACGAAAATAATGAAAATGAAGTTCGTATATTTGTAAAGAAAAAATATAATTATATTTTGATAACGTTCGATGCTTTCTACGTTTTTTAATATCAGAATTATGCACGCGAGAGTACATTACTTTTTCTCGAATCGAGATATTATTAAAATACTGTAAATTTAAAATTTATTCGATCGTTAAGTGAAAAAGCATAGTTGAACTCGAACAATAACGCGGGAAAGGGTTCTGAAAATCGGTCGTCCTTGCTTGAAATTGAATAAATGCGTTTATTAGCGGTTATAAATCGCCATCCAAATGTAGACAGGCTGAATCACGAATAAGCCGGCCATTCTGATTCACTCGACGTATTAACTGCCGCCTTGTTATCACGATAATGACACCGTGGTCGTTTTTATACCGACATAAGGGGTGTTTGCGCCGACAATTCGTTCTTCATATGATTCATCGGTGTCATGATTTATTTATTTTTTATCCCAAATAATTTATGACAAAGCGATTTAATACTCTCAATTAAGTCAATCCTTTAATTGTTCGCAGGTATTGGAATAGACGACACGTTTGTGATGCTAGCTGCTTGGAGACGAACCAGTATAATGAAACCGGTACCTGAAAGGATGGCTGCGACTCTTAGCGAGGCTGCTGTCTCGATTACCATTACTTCCTTGACTGACATGATATCGTTCTTCATTGGCATTCTCTCACCCTTTCCCTCTGTTCAAATTTTCTGTATTTATTCAGGTGTGTAAAAGATATATCGGCTAAAGAGAATTGAAAGCTAAACTTGGAAACTGATTGACATATTTTTTTTTTGTCTCAGGATTCGCCGTAGTCTTCACCTTCGTGTTTCACCTGACTTTCTTCACAGGCTGTGTAGCCATCAGTGGCTATTGCGAGCAAAAGAATCTTCATAGTGTAGTATGTTGCAAGGTGCAACCTCTCTCCAAGTCTTGTGAGTTTTTTTTTATTACTCTGTTTCTTTTTTCTTAGTTAGTTTCTTAAGTTCATAATCATATCCTTTAGTAGTATTAGATCTAATATATCTTTAACGAAACTAATTAATAAATATTCGCGATAAATATTCTTAAATTATCTACATGTATATATCTATCTAACATATATATATATTTTTTCAAATTATATATATTTAAATTTTGTTATATTTCAAATCAGTTTGACAAAATTATTTATATTTAAATAATTTATATAATACAATCTTTGAAGAAGTATATAAAAAAAAATAAGAATTTTTGAATAAAGAAGGTGAAAAAGAATAAGAAGGAAGTAGATACATGTTTTCTCGTTACATAATTGTCCAAGAACTTACGTGGTAAAAGTAAGAGTTTGGTGATCGGAGAATTCCTTTAGGTTACTACATCCAATGTAACCATTTTACACTTAAATATACTGCATATATGTATAGGTAACAAAAAATATCCAAAGAAGACGTTATCCGGAATACTTTCACGGACAGAAAATACGTATTGAACGTATCATTTGCCAGTATCTGTTTAAACTTTCATGTATTCTCTACACGACACAAAACTTTCTACATTATAGAATTTACAATTAAATCTTCGAGTTTTGGAATCATAATTTTTTACTATTTTTAATATAATTAAAATTATGTCATTTTAAAAATCACAGAACAGATTTTTTTTTTGTTAAAATTTTTTAATAATATTGCTTTATTTCTAGAAATCGATGTATTATTATTAAAAGGGAAAAGTTGTTACGAATGGTTTGCCATTTCGATCGTGAAAGCCGGAAGATTCTGACTAACCGTTGTTAAGTCTCTAAAATGATTTGTAAATTGTAGTTTGATCGCATCAGGAAGTCTTTTATTATGAATGGTTATACATCAATGAAACACTTTGATAATATTGTTATAATTGGTAAATGGCTCCCGTTAAAATTGATTATTGTGAGATTTAAATTCGGTTACTTTCTTTGTACACACATTCGCCACATGTCATTAATTTAATAAAAATTCAAGATATATCGCTTGTGGTATACCACCAGTTACGTGAGAAAAGCTAGGTTATGTTCGAGCCTCGCTAATTTGTTAGATCACCGTTCTATTACGTAAACATGTCACTTTCTCTCGAGACATTGTAAACAGTTACAAACAATGTCATCTTAGTCACATTTTTACGTAATTTCTTCCTGTCACCGAAAAAAATTAGCAAATGCAATCAATTTCCATTTTATTATCTATGAACCGGAATTGTCTTGCAATATTATTAAAAAATCAGTTCTTTTGATTTTGACACAAAAATGATATATATACATATATATGCACTTATTATCCCTTGAAGTTTTTAGAAAAATCAATGCTGATTCACCGTAACTTATTACTATTGATACTACTCATTATTACGAAAGGACGTGGATTGAAAAAAATTTTTTTTATCAAGATTCATTCGAAAACTGTCCCAATTTTGGAAGATGATTCATCTAGTCTAGTTTGACTGGAAATTTGGAGAACAAATTCTCGAAATTGATGGCAGAAAATTGCTTATGGAAATCACCGGCTTTACGCTGTTGTTACATAATATTGTTATATAAAAATTTTTGGTAAAGTTTTTTCTTTCAGAGAAAGGAAGTAAAAGGTGTACAGATTCCAAGAGATCTGTGTTGCCCAATTTAATCTGATCTAACCTGATTTAACGTAATCTTAAAGAGATGGTTTTAAGAATTTTTTATTCAATACACGTGAAACTAGATAAATTATTCGAATTTATCAATAAAAATTGATTTGATGGAAAAGAATTATAATTAACAATCGATAAAGGTGAACGCATCTTGGAAATTGATTATCACGAATGCGTACTTGGAATCTTAATGTAATTAACATTGTCGGTTGGCGCGTGACATTGTACCGATGCCTTTGTTCTCACTACACAATAGCTTCATCATTCTTTTTCCCACAATGCTTAGAAGTTTCAAAGTCAAAGACAATGGCTTCTTTACGAAAACACCGATTGTCCCGTACATAAACTATACATCAATTGATTTATAAATTAACAAATATCTTTCTTCTATTTTTCAGCAAACAGATCTTGGTTCTATAGAGCATTATGCACCGGGGGCGTGGATCCAGACGATCCTTATAATCCTACCGACAATCCGGAACACGGATGCATGAGTTGGTTCCGGGATTATCTGGCCGCCGCGTTGAATTGCAGACCCATCAAAATCATTGTAATTCTGATATTCGGCTGCTATCTAGCCGGCGCTCTTTACGGGCTGACAACTCTTCGGGAGGGCTTGGATCGACGCAAGCTCTCCAAGAATGACTCTTATTCGATTGTTTTCTATGACCGTCAAGATTACTATTTTCGAGAATTCCCATATAGAATACAGGTACAATCAGGATTTTAATCGGATTTTGTGTTAGATATTTTTGAAAGAAATTTGTGATAAGTAATGCTTGAGAAAAATATATATATATATTAAAAAATATTTTAATGTAAAATTTATAAAATTGGAATATAACAAATTTTTAATCGAAGAATGACAATTTTCCATTCAAATCGTTCAGGGATCGTAATCAATTTTCGAAGATTTGTCGTTCTAATAATAATTTTTTACTCGCAATTATGTCACGTGAGTGACTTTCTCTTAGAGTCCAGTCGAAGAAAAGTGACTGGCATTGCGTCAGACAGCACTATCACGATTCAGGCTACACAACGTTCGTTTAAACATTCGAATGTTGAAAATACCGCATTCTTTACAAGCTCGATGATTACATATAATTTAATATATTTGAGGACGAGTTTTTATCGAGTCATAGAAAGATCTTAAACTCGTTAATTTCGTTTAAATTGATTTTAAAAAAAATATCACGATTTCAGGTGGTAGTAAGCGGAGAATATAATTACAGCGACCCAGTGATTCAGGAACAGATGGAGAATTTAACTCGATCCTTGGAAGCCAGCAAATACATCAGCAGCGCTCCTATCTACACGGAGAGCTGGCTGAGAAATTTTCTCAGCTACGCCAACAACAGCGCGACCGACGTAGATATCGAAGACGAGAAAAGTTTCATCAAAGAATTAAAAGACACTTGGTTGTCCCCTAAAAGTAGCTTTTCCTTGGATGTGAAGTTCGACCCGAGCGAAGAACACATTATAGCCAGCAGATTTCTCATTCAAGCGGTGAATGTAAGCGGGACCAATCAGGAGAAAGACATGGTGAAAGAGCTCCGTCAGATTTGCGCTCAATCTCCATTGAACGCCAGCGTGTTCCATCCCTACTTTGTGTTCTTCGACCAATTCGAACTTGTTAAACCCACTAGTATTCAATGTATGGTGTTTGGTGCCCTTGTCATGATGCTCATCAGCTTCATCTTTATCCCCAATGTAATGTGTTGCCTCTGGGTTGCTTTTTGTATCATTTCAATCGAATTGGGAGTCGCTGGTTACATGGCTCTGTGGGATGTAAGCCTAGACAGCATATCCATGATTAATCTTATCATGTGTATAGGTTTCAGCGTCGATTTCACTGCTCACATTTGCTACGCCTATATGAGCTCCAAACAGAAGACACCGGAGGACAGAGTGAAAGAAAGTTTGTACAGTCTTGGCCTTCCCATAGTACAAGGGGCCACCTCTACGATCCTTGGATTAATAGCCTTGGTCCTTGCTGGAACGTACATTTTCATGGTATTCTTCAAGATGGTGTTCCTGGTGATATTTATCGGAGCCATGCACGGAATGTTCCTACTTCCCGTCTTGTTATCATTATTCGGCCCTTCATCTTACCACGATGACAAAACGGACACGGATAAAACTCAACAGAGGAAGATTTCAGAGAAGGATCTAAATTGCGAGCTCCAACATCCTTACGTGATTCCACATCCAACTTTGACTTATTATCATCATTCTTCCGATAAGAATTTTCAAGGCAGCCCCGCAACCAGTTTAGCTGCGTTCGACGATAGGGATCCTGGATTGGGGACCAGCGAGGACAGCAATTCCACGGAAAGTGGATCGTCCCAAAGCAGAAGAAAGGAGGGTCAGTTGGAACAAGAAAATCAAAGGCGGCACGATGTCTGCAGAAAATCCATAGGTGTCCTCTATGGAATGTCTCAGTTTCAAACCGCTTCATCACCAGCTGCACCACCTCCGGATTATTCTGGAACACTTTCAGAACCAGTTCCAAATGAGCAAGAGCGACGAGCGGTTAGGACAGTATCTTACGTAGGCCCATATCCGGCTCAAAGGCCCGCGAATCAATTACACAGAGATCATAGAAGAAGTAGATCGTACCATAATCTTCATTACTCGTCGAGGTACCTGAGTGATTCGCGTTATCCTTAATGATATCTTTCAATGAAGAGTAATAAGTGTTAAACAGCCTTTGTACGCAGAGAAGTTAACAAATTTAAAGTTTTTCTTGGAAGGAAGTCAATATCTTGAATTTTCCTTTCTGCTCTTAGGATAATTATTGGAGGTATGATTTACATTTTTTTTTTTTTTTTTTTTTTTTTT